GGGATTCGTGTGGCATTTATTAATGTGACTCTAGGTTTCGATATCGACGACGCTTGGAAACATGTGCTTATTCGGCGGTTGTGAATTGTTTGGAAAAAAAAACGAACTATTGGCAGTTATTTGTTTAACTTTCAAATGTATTCTCGATCTTCTACTCAGGGGTATTGTTGTCACTTTGTTGATTCTATCTTCCCGAGATTTGAGGAGCATGTTGTTTTTCATATCAGTGAGGTGGACTTTCTTCCAGAATTGTGTACTAGTTCGCGAAATGTTATCAAACCCTCTCCATCGAACTCGATCGATAGTCTGAGGCACCAGATCTCCCAATCCTTCCTTAGTATTTCACAATTGAATTCTCGTACGCAACATCCGCTTTTATCTAATAATAAGTTGACCGGTTGTCTTCGCTCTGCTTCTTCTTCTTCTCCCTCCCCTTTCTCTTCTTCCTTTGTTTCCTCCTCTTCTGCTTCTGCTTCTCTTTCTTCTTCTTTTTCTTCTTCTTCTTCTTCATGTTCCTCGACGTCCTCGTCTTTATGCAACACTGATACTCTTTTCTCTTGTCTAGATAAACTAAACGGACTGGTCCGTCCGGTTGACCATAACCCTGGGGACACTTTTGTGTGTTGTCCACAAGTATATTTTAAACGTATGGACAAGTTGTTCATCAGTAATACAACTTTCATGCATGTGAAGGATAAACAAGCTTTCGTGTTGGTTATATGGATGTGAAATTTGATAGGTTTGGCAATTGGGATAGGCAGTGTAGGCTTGGCAGTGCTTATTGCATTTCGAAACATAAGGGTATCAGTCGCTGGAGACCAATTGTCCTACTTTTGCGGAAGATAGGGTGTTAGGTAGTCAAAGAATGGCTTATGCTATCAATGTGTTGCTCTGGCATGTACCCAATCATTTTCATTTCAACTTGAGACGGAGGAGTGATATTGTTGCTGGTATTACGACTGTCAATTGCAATCTTCGCAAGGACGAGTTAGTATTGGGGGCATTGTTCGATACCAAAGAAATGTTTTCGAACCTTCCTCCTAACTCGATCCTGAAGGCGGTTCATTGGGTGACAGATTATTGGAATGGCAAAGGCTATATGTGTGTCATGGTTCGGACGCATGGAAAACTGGCCAGATTAACAAAGGGACGTGGTGAGAATGGCTGGGTTTTTATTGAACTGGATGCAGTTGTTCATTTTGTGGCATATGAACTAGATCATACGATTCATACCTATGTCCTGGCTGCTGGGCTTCTCAAACAAACTGTCGGCAGCCCCATGGGAAAAACCACCAGTCCTGCATTTGCTTGCTTACACTGTGCATTCAATAAATTTTGCTTCCTGTCCTCTCTTGCTGTTGATCGTAAATTGGTCGCTGGATTCCGGGTTGTTTATGATGTTTCTATCTTTGTCAAACTCTTTCCTTCTAAGTCTTCCTATGCTGCCGATGCTCGGACCATCATATCACTCTTCTCTAGTTGCTATGATGACAATTTGATACTTGAGCAGACCAACGAAGGTGATAGTTGGGAATATATAGGTTGTTGTCAAAGTGTTCATGCACTCCAGGCAGATAGTGTGCTTCGCTACGTACAAGAATGAGGGTAGTATCTGCAACAACAAGCTGGTTTTTCAATGCATTCAAGATTACTGTTCGTATACCATTCGTCAACAAAAAATGGCGGTTATCATTTCATTTCTGCACCAGGCTCGAACCTTTACCTCGGTACCGGATACTGAGATTGGGTTACTTTGAAACGTGAGCTGTGGATGAAGAGGCTATCCTGATGATTTCTTCGATACTGCAGCTGTTCATTTTTCTCAGAAGCACGCTGGTTGCTGGGATCACTGGCTCAAAGTGTTGACGAACTGGGATAGATGGATATGGAGGTAGCTTGCAAGTGTGTTATTTCGGGGTTCGACCTTAGGATTCCATATGTGGATACGATGCGTTCTGACAAGGGATTAACGATATTTTTTTTAGGATTTGTTTAGGATTTTTTAGGACTCTCTTGATAATCGGGCTGGTAGGAGGTTGGATTAGAACCTGGGACCTTTTGTTAACCTTCTCCAGATTGTCACCTTACTTGTTTCTTCGACGGTGGTTCGAACCTTCCCGTCTGTTGAGGTAGGCCTGCGGACTTTTTCCAAAAGGCAGACCGTTCTATTCTGGTTGATTTTGTTGTACTGTAGCTCAGGATTTTTCTTCTCCAGATAAGGCGGTAGTAGTTTTTCTCTGGAGGTCTTTTCTATTGCGGACTTTCTGGCGTCTAGTTCGTCAAGTACAAATATGCAAAGTCGTCGAGCTTCACTCACACTTGCACGAGGACAAGCCCCCTGACGAGGACTGCTTGCACGAGGACAAGCCCCCTGACGAGGACTGGTTGGCGGGCCAGTCGAGACGAGTCGATTCATTGCTGTAACATTGATTTATCTTTCTTTATCAAGTGGCGTTGGGGAGTTTTTTTTCTCTATGCTTATTGTGTTACCTGCTTCTCCTCGACCCTCTGCTTGGTGTGGTCTTGTCTTCTCTATTTCCTCTCTTGTCCGTGTCTTGATGAGTGGTTATTGACGTGGTTTGATGATTGAATGATTTTTTCACGAAGTTCTTTGCGTATTCTCTATGCGTATTGTGTTACCTGCTGCTTGGTGTGGCCTTATCTTCTCTATTTCCTCTCTTGTCCATGTCTTGACGAGTGGTTGTTGACGCCTTTTGATGATTGAATGATTTTTTCACGCAGTTCTTTGCGTACTCGCATCTACGAAGGTCTGCTGGTGAACGGGAGACCAAAAAAGTGCTGGAGTGCATCTGGCCCCTGAACCAGCCTGGGGGGCCGGTCCTGGAAGCCCACTGTGTGGGCCGTGAACCGGCCTGGGGGGGGCCTCCTCGAAGCTCATGGCCAAAGGCCGTCGCTCCATTGCGGTGCTGGTGAACGGGAGACCAAAAAAGTGCTGGAGTACATCTGGCCCGTGAACCAGCCTGGGGGGACGCTCCTGGAAGCCCCTGTGGACGCCCGCCGACGTGCGTAACGGCAAGAGACCGAAAAAAAAAAAAAAAAAAAAAAAAAAAAAAAAAAAAAAGAAAAAAAAAAAAAAGAGGCTGGCTATGTGTGATCGGGCATTCCCCGAATCCCCATTTCGGCACTCGGCCCCGACCATGTCTTGTTACACATGGGAACGGAGTGTGATCGGCGGCGTACTCAAAAACACAAATCCGGCATTCCCAAATCCGCATTTTTTGGGAATTTGGGGTCGCCGTGTGAGTATGCCCCGCATTGTTTGAGAATTCGGGGTCGCCGTGTGAGTATGCCCTGAATTACCTGCAGCAGGTCGGTTAATGATAATAGACGTCGAGGTCGCTACCCTTTCATAAAATGCGAAAAAATAAATAAATAAACGGGAAAGGCTTACACGGCGCAAGGCACATAACTGCGATCAATCGTGTTGATAAAGGACAGAAAGAAAAACACAAAAATAAACAAACAGATAATGAAGAAAAGAAAATGAAGAAAGAAAATCAAGAACGTTAATTAGACTGGAGAGAGCCACTCAGAGGGAAAAGAAGGCCGAGCAGAGGGAGGTCGTCAGGGGCGACGTCCCACAAACAAAGAGATGCAAAAAAGCAGGTCATTTGCAATTGTATGCACCTCTCCCCAAGCACGCCCAAATTCAGGCGTGAAATCCAATCCTCTTTGCTGGTGGGACGTCGCCCCTGACGACCTCCCTGTGCGCGTCCTTCCTTTCCCTATGCGTGGCTCTCTCCAGTCTGATTAACGCGTTTGATTTTCTTTCTTCATTTTCTTTTTTCTCTTTTTCAATTTGAGGAAGCCGTCAACATTTTGAACCTTGCTCTCTTACCAGAAACATCCTGTTTAGTACTTATTAGCTGCGGAGAATTCTGAAAGGTGTAGATGGGCCTCTCTCAACTACACAGCAGTCAAGATGTATCTGGAGCTAATGATCGTTCCATACACATTCAAAATGTTGCACTCCTCCAAACGCACCTGGTCCGGAAAGACGTCCGAATGCATGTCGAGTGTGGAGTAGTGGAGCGGGGTCCGATGTCGCATTACCTGTCATTGGAGGCACGGCGAAGATAGATGATTCCGAACTCACGGCATAGTACTCACAAAAGCACTTTCGAAAATGCACCTGACCGCAATTACGGCCAGACCTGCACGAATCTGACCGAAATCACGTCCAGAGCTTGGTGGAAGAAGTCCGGGAGGAGTATGCATGCCCTAAGGGTGGGGGAATCCGACGAATTTCTTTCTTTTCCTGTGCAAAACAGCAAGGAATTAAAAACAAAAACAAGAAAAGGAGAAACTGTGGAAGGAATTAGTGGACGGGCACCCGAGAGCGTGGCTAAGCGGGTACCCATGAACTGTTGAGAATAAAGACCCAATGGCATGTTCGATCCAGATGATGGAGCTTCATGGGTAGAACCGTAGAACCGTAGAACCAAATATTTCTAAAATGCCTGGACACGGTCAGCTCAATGGTGGTATCTCAAGGCCGTCACCCTTATCAAAAAAGAAAGAAGAGAAAAAGGAAAAAAAAAAGAAGAAGAAACTGTAGTCAGTCTATAAGGATGGTGGTTCGCTATCGACAGTACAGACTGTAAGGAAGTGTACACACCAGGAAGAGCGAATTTTAGAAATTGAAAAAAAAGGGGTGACCCGAGTCTCATTGGATGAGATTTGAAGGTATGAGACCATAGAAATATGCGAAGATCATAAAAAACAAATACGAGGATTATTAAAAAAAAAGTCCTGCAGAGATTGAACGAGAGGATTCATAGCAGCCGGTCATTCAGAAATATTACATCATTGAAAATATAAATTAATTACTGGAAGTCATGGAATGCATATATCCAAAGAGACGATTCAGAACAGCCAGTCATACAAGTATACGACATTACTCACAACTACAAACTATCGAACACATGTCATGCAGAAAAGGAAAATAAAAAGAAAGAGAGGATTCATAACAGCCAGTCGACACGAAGCAAGCTCCAGAAGTCTTCCAACTGCGAGGCCTCCCTGTCCAAAGCAGCAACAGCACTGACAGCAATTCAAATCTCGTGTCTCACTCTCAGCAACACACAGAAAAGTGTACTAGGGAGCTAGAAACATCAGCGTTTTCTTTACATCGATGAACATACTGACACAGATACATATGCATAAAGACGTATATACAGTCTATATAGACATGTAGCCATATAGACACAGATAGATAGATAGATAGATAGATAGATAGATAGATAGATATCGAGAGTGAGCTAGATTGCCATAGATAGTCAGATAAATTGTGTTGTGAATAGAACGAAAGGAAGCAATAGACGAACACAGAGACAGTCAGAGACAGACGGAGACAGACGGAGACAGAGACAGAGACAGAGAGAGAGGGAGAGAGACATACATAGAGAAAGAGAGGAAGGAAAAAGGGAGAGGGAGAAAGAGTGAGAGAGAGAGAGATGGAGAGATTATTGGGACCCCAGCTCAGCACTATTGGCTTACGCCGTCAATTTAAAAAATCCGAACGTTCCGCCGTAGCCATCCTACTCTAATAGCAAACGGCAAGCGGAACGAGTACCACTGCATTGCATGGCCAGCTTGGCGCGCATATTAGGCTGAGCGACGCACGCACGTAACTTAGCCCACAAGACCTACCTAGCGATCCGCTCGGCGGGAGCTCGAGCAGCTACAGAAACCTCCTTTACTACAAAAGTCAGACTACTGCTAAGATTGCAACAGAGCACTTGGCAATCCTACTTTTTCTTCCGCCTAGGCGATCTCTTTCGCACTTCTCCTCCGACTCATCCTTCCCCCAGTCTTCTAGCGTGTTTCCCCCCGCCCACAAGCACTTAGTAACTAGCTTTCCCATCCCTCAAATCTTCTTGTCCTCGCTCGGTGGGCGGCCGTCCCGTTACCGTAGTTCAGCCGTTACGATAGCGCAGCTCTTCCGCTACATTACGTTGGCGCAGCCCAGCCGTTACGTTACGTTAGAACAGCTCAGCCGTTACGTTACGTTAGGCTCTGCCATTACGTTACGTTAGGCTCTGCCATTACGTTACGTTAGGCTCTGCCAATACGTTACGTTAGCGCAGCTCAATCGTTACGTTACGTCTGGGCAGGACAGCAGCTACGTTACGCTAGCGCAGCTCAGCCATTACGTTACCTTCGCGAAGCTCAGCCGTGACGTAGCGTTAGTGCAGCTCAGCCATTGCATTAAGCTAGCGCAGGTCAGCCATTGCATTGAGCTAGCGCAGCTCAGCCGTTACGTTACGTTTGGGCAGCTTAGCACGCCGTCCAGACGATACTGAAGACTTCCGTGAGCCTTAGATCTGCGGAGTCGATGGTCATCAATCCATTTTTCGACGTATTGCCGGGATCCACTCGCACCTCGGTCTTGATGTTCAGGTTCCTAACTGAGCTGCACTCGCTGGATGCGATGGACTCGAAGCCGTCGGTGAACTCGAAATCGTCGTCGAACGGCCCCTTTATGACGCGCTTCGCCTTCGCCGTCCCTGGTACCCCGGCGACATAGTAGCTGCTCTGAACTGTCCCGGTGACGCCTTCAGCCAGCAACCCGTAGCCGCGCACCGTGACCGACCCCAGATGGTATATAAATCCTGGGGGATAAGCCAGCTTGACAGACACCGAGCAAGACCTCCGCCTACCGGCCACGCCCATGTCCGTCGACGCAGTGTACTTGCTGAACATCACCGTCAGCGCTTGCCCATCCGATGACACGTCACCTTCCGTACTTCCTGGGGGGCATCCATCGCCGTTGTAGGTGAACCCAGCGATGGTCACCGACCCGGACGGCGGAGCCCCGCTAGCATATCCGTTACTCACTAGCACAGCAAGCAGCGTGAACAAGAGCAGCGCCACCATAGCCGACCTCTCCATCCTCGTCGACTTCGCCTGCCGGCTCCTCCAACGAGGCGCTAGTCCAAACCTTGGCAGCGCCTGCCGACACCTTCCCCCCCGCCCTCTCCGCTCTTCTCTCTCTTCCCACCAAAATAACGTTCACCGCCAACCCAACATCAGTCGATAGGCTCACGAATCCCTGCCCCTTCGCTTTCTCTTATTGCGACCACGGCTGCTTGTTCCTACTACTACTACTACAACGACGCCTCCTCCTTGGATCAAGTTGGGTGGAGGATGAAGCCAGCTTGGCCTTGGATGGAGCTCTTCTTCGCCGAGGGGCGCCCCAGCGACCGAATTCCCCATTCCTTGACCCTACCGCCCGCCCAGTCATTATGGGCCTCGCCACACCACTCCCCAGTTTGGAAAATTTTCGGGAATGCTCCCGAAACTGAAAACCCGCTCGAGAGTGCCCCTCGCCACACTACACTCTCGACCGGCCGCGCTGCAAGTCTGAAAATGTCAATGTCAGTTGCCACATGTGGACACGATCGGTGTGAAGCAGTCTGGCAGAAGTCCGTTTGTCCCGTCAAGCTCCAGTCCCCAATCTGGGATGAAACTCGGAGGCTCGAAGGAGGTCTCTCGAAAAGGCAAAAAAAAATAATTGAAGCCCAATTCTGACAGCTCCCTAATTCGACCTGACAGATCAAATTCGGGAGCTGGTCTGGCGGCGTTGCACTCCCGAAAACACCACTTTCGGGCGTAGTGTGGCGAGGGCCTACTCACACGAGGGACTTTTATGGCAAACTGGCTAAAATTTGATGGTGGGGCCAGTCACACGGGCCATGGCAAAAGCAGCAAACGGGGTATCAAACGTCAGAATCCAGCCAGCGTAGCTCAGTTGGTAAGGCACGCAGGTGGCATTCAGGAAGTCTTGGGTACAATCCCCGTTGGCCTCGTGTACCTTACAAGGCAAGCTTGGCGCCCCCCACCTAGAGATATGTCGTTGGTCCCCCGAGTGGCACCGAGCAGAGACTGCTGATGTGCATAGGGGGAGGGGACCGGAGGGGAGGCACAGTGACTGGCCCATCGAAGAAGCTCGGTCCTGATGCTATGGGCTGACCCCTGGCCGGTATCGCCCACCTCCTGTAGCACATATCACACCTGCTGGTGGGTGCAGCTCCCACATGTTCCCTCGTTGGAGGCTTGAGCACAGATGTGGCTGCTATGGGGTTCCCCGGAATACTGTAATGACAATAAAAACGGCCTGAAAGGCTGTCCTGTCCAGATCTGACAGGCAATTGAATTGGTTGGGCATTATTATTAATATTTTAAAAAAAGTTGAGGGATTTGGGCCTCGCGTTGTGTGACCATGCGAGGTACCATTTTGGTAATTGCCAGAAAGTCCGGCTCGTGTCTTTTGTGATTTGTTACGGCTTTGTGACTGGGCGGGGTGGCATTTCATTAAAATCAGGATACCAAAATTCGCAGATTTTGCTGCTATGCCACCACTGTGTGAGCACGCCCTAAGGAGATATGACAATCGCAACGAAGTCAGCGTGGAAACAATCTGCATGGTCCCACCTCAGCGTGGAAACAATCTGCATTAAAATCTAGGTCCAGACCCTCCAAGCCGGTCGGCTAGGTGGAAAGCACGGCCCAAATCCGGACCCGCCAAGCTAGTAGGATGAGGAAAAACTAGAGTCAAGATTTGGACCTGCCGCCTGACCAGGCCGGCGAAGTAAGCACATTTTTACACTACAGTAGCAGGTATAATCGCGAGAGCGCAAACATTGACAACTTTATTTTATTATTATGTTTTTATAAAGGGGAGATGGCCTTGAGATATCATATTTGAACTGACCAGCCGTAGGTTCTGTTGCGAACTGTTTTCCTACACAAAAAATCCTCAAAATTTCACAGTTTATGTTCGATATAAATGTGCCGCACAAATGTGTCCCACATTGCTCGTCTACATAAATTATATTTGAATTTTTGCTTCATAAGCTCTATATTGATGCATCGTACGTATTTCTCGTACAGATGTGCTACGCGTTGCTTGACTATGAAAATGCGCTTTGAATTTTTTGTTCAGTTTGCGCTATATACATATGATGCCTAAAATATCCCACACATTAGTTATCTGCCTAATTTCTCTTTGAGAAAAAAATTCGTTCTCTATACTCTACATAAACTTATCGCGCAGATATGTGGCAAAATGTTTGTCTAAAATAATGCTTTTGACGTTTGTTTTTCAATTTTTCATCTTATCTTTCTTGTGCAAACGAATGATCTTGAAGTCTGTATTTCCCTTTATCAATAGGTTGTGATTTCCCCCCCCTCCCCCTTCCCCCCCCTCATTCCCCACCTCCCGTCGCTCCCCAAACACCCTCCTAATTCACGGTGGTCTTATCATTGCGCGTAATGAAGCACACCAAATAATGTTGATTTTGCAAAAGGGAAAGGGAAATAAGAAAGAGAATCACAGCCAGTCGCCCTCGAGCTTTGTGCTATCGGTATCACGAACTGTAATCATTATTGATTTTTCTTCATGATATTTGTCGCATAACTGTCTAGCCGCTTTTGCGAGCGGGTTATCTGTGAATGCGTGTACGAGCGTCTGTCTCGTTCGATCGCACATATCTCACTCTCTTTGTCATATGTGTCACTTAGCTCTTGGTTTTGGTTCGAGTATTTTTGATCCCTCTGGTCAAGACTGAGGACGGCGGAGGCCAAGTCCCACTAGGAGCATTAAGTATCCTCAATTCCCAAGTCATGACTTTTTTGAGGACATGTGTCAAAAATCACGTTGAGTATCCTCAATTGCAGCTATCCACAAACACGTCCATATTATGGCATTGATAAAACTCGATGTTGTTATTGTCTTCATCCGAATAGAACGCCCAGTCATTATAGTTGTATCTAGACTGAAATTTGCATCAGATAACAGCTATCATGACCAAAAGTTCTATTTAAGTGAAGGCGTTCATGCGATTTGGCTCCGACTGGCAGCAATACCGATAGCCAGTGTTTTTAAGTTTTTTTTTTTTTTAAGGAAATATTTTTAATTTTATTTTGTATTTTTTATTTTTTTCACACAACAAACAAAACTTTTTCTTTTAAGTTTTTTTCGATTTTTTTATTGTCATTATAGTATTACAGGGAACCGGTAGTAGCCACACCCATGCTCAAGCCTCCAACGAGGGAACATTCCGGAGGTGCATTCATTAGCCGGTGCGATACCTGCTGCAACAGGTGAGCGATATTGGCGAGGGGTCAATCGACGTTTATTCGATGAGTCAATCGTTGTGCCCCCCCCTCCGGTCCCCTCCCTCTATGAACATCAACAATCTCTGCTCTATGCCACTCCGGGGGACCAACGACCTATCCCTATGTGGTGGTTGTGCCCAGGAAGGTACATGATGCCCATAAGGGTTGAACCTTATCTCTAGGTGGGCATCAAGCTCAATGCCACTAAGGGGGACCAACGATCTATCTCTGAATGCCACTTGCGTGCCTTCCAACTAAGTTAGGGCGCTAGACGAAGCCTTATATTTTTGCTATTTCTTCAATCGATTTTACAAGTCGTAGAAGAAATTGTCTTACCTCTAGTTGAAGTAATAATGATAGATAGGACACTAGAACCCACTAGCATGAAGTTTCGTAGGCAAGGGCCTATAAGCTAAGTTGGTTGATGTTGTTGCTAGCCCCCGGTTGAGTTATGAGGTCCTCAACCTCGTCTGGTTTCTATATAAGGAATGAAAAGGGTGGGGGAAAGACATATATTGTAATAGAAACTTTCAGGCTCGGGACCTCACAATTCAACTTGGAGTACTAAAAGCATTACTCAGCTTCACGTAAACCGCAATTATCTTTCTCAACTGTAGGTGTCAAGCTTCAATTCGAACTGTGTGCCAAAAAAAAACGAACCGAGGCGCACTCCAATTTAATTGGCGCCTCCAACCATTTCGCCCCTATAGTGCCGAGGTTGTTTGCCGCCCATGTTAACTGGTTAGCCATTGATGTCGAGCTTCCCGCTTTTGGTAAGTCGAGCCTTGGCGAGCCTCCCACTACCGGTAGAGGGAATCATTTCTAAAAACGAAAAAATATATAAAAAGGATGGAAAAAAAAAAAAAACGAGAAATAATAAAAAGGAAAAGAAAAACTCACGAAAGAAACGGKGTTGAGCGCATCATGCCCGCACGGGGGGACCATACCGGCCTCGTCACACGATATTTTTCGCTTGAGCGATTTGTCGTTCCGACCGAGTATGTCAGTCGTACCTTCCATGAACCCCTACGACAAGAGATAGGTTATGTGAGGCACAACTTACTTCTACCCAAAGGGTTGTCACCTCACTTAGGTAGGTGTATCCCTGTCGAGCTACCGAACCACGTGTAAAAGTTGCTCAAGTGCAATCACAAAGGTGACCCAGTCGAAGGCGTTTCTTGTTTGTTGTAACATAGGGGGTACGTGCGGTTGAACATGTTAATCGAACCCGCGCACAAACTGACGCTCTAGGCTTGATTTCCCAAGTGCGCTCCGGTGCCGAGTGACTAGGATGACTAATCGAACCACGCGATACACTCCATAAAAAATAATAAAATAAAACTTCGTACGTAAATCACGCCAGGTCCCTTATTCACATTCGACCCGGAACTCTTCGACAATAGGACAAGCAGGGGGCGCACGCACGACTTTATATAAATAACGTGGTAATGTAAACTTTATCATATCGACTACCCATGCACGAATGCGCAAGGAGTTGCAATTATGGCGTATTATGTGGCACCCGTAATGCTGCTCAATGATTTTGAGGGTTGCATTCGACACTCAAGTGTCAGTTGACAGACATCTTGAGGGGTAAATTTTATAACACTTGACAATCGAGAAATCCATTGTGAATCCTACCCACTTTTGCACACTACTAAGAGGAGCGGTATGAAGACTTCAACTCTTTGTGGTAATTAAATGCCACAGACTTATGGGAAAAGGCTTCATCTTCGAAGACCTTGAAACAGGTCAAGGGGTTTGACTTTGACAACCGCCATGGACCTCAACGTCCAACTATGAACTCAACGAGAAAAATTAAAGGGGATCTCCCTTTTATCCTACCCCAAAATCCATACAAACCTTAGGCAAGGTCAAAGCAGATAGAGCGAATACACAAATTTTAATCATAAGAGGGGTATCAACACGAGGCGACCACTCTCACAATCAAAGCGTGACCTCCTTTCATAATATTTAATTTTTTATCGTAGACAAATCAAATCCTCACTTCACATCACATAATATACCTGCAACCACGCAAAGACTCAACATTGGCATACCACATA